GTCAATTTTCGATTTTAGTTCCCGATTGTATCTTGGTCAATCCTTTTGTGAAAACGGAAACAGGTCGGCGACTACACGTATCCGGTGGGGAAATTATCGATTGTTTTCCATATCACTTTAACTCTGTAGAAGATAAGGACAAGCCTCCGGCAATGTTAGACGCCATTCACGGGAAGGAACACTCCGCATTGATGCACATCAGTCCAAGAATTAGAGTCTTTCAACCTCCGACTGGAGAGATACCGATTGCTACGTTCTCCCTCATCATAAGTGGTCTCCACTTCGATTGAAATATTAAATGAAAACCATTTAATATTTTTCGCGCAATCTAAAAATGCTGGAATCGGATGAAATTTTCGTTACGCAAAAACTCAAGGAGTTGGAAAAGCAGAGAATGTCCTATCGTCATAAATTATTCGACATTTATCGACGGAGAACGTTGGAGCAAATTAAAAATCGCGCCAGCCGACTCATCTAACTATTTTAGATACACTTGTATTTTTTAAAATAAAAGTGTTAATTTGGTCGTTGGTGCAAATTAAGGGGCCCGCCGATCAAATGAGGAACCGCAGTAGCCGACCCATTTGCCAGTTTGCGCAGAGTTTGGCGGATTTGTTCCCATCGCTTTGCAGTACTAAAATACAATTCCACCTGCTTATCGAAATCAGTGGATGCGATAGTCGCGCGTTCCGCTCGCAAATCTTCACATCGTGAATCGAACAAACGAGTCAATCGATCGAAATGACGCTCAAGATCGTTAATCACGAGTGCATCTTCATCGTGCATCGCTTTCAGCCGGAGCATTTGAGCTGGATCAACGGGCTTTTTGGGTGGCATTTTAGATTCCCATTCATGTATTTATACATATATTTCTGTTTCCTACAGAAATAGATGATTTTGGACCACCTTCCTAATATAATAGAAATTTGCAAGTCTTTCAAGAAGACTTGCAAATGTTTTTGAAAATTTGTAATATATTTGGAAAGTGCCTCAATTCACCTCCATGCTGGCCAACACGACATTCACTCGCAATTTGGCACCGACATTGATCTTGTCAATACGAACGACCGATCTTCCGACGAGTGGGAAGCCGATGCGGGGTTGGACTGGCCTTCGGGTGTTCGCATTGATAAAAGCACTATCCTTGTCGAGCTTGATAAACATCACCAGCGTACCCTCGTTAATCATCTTAAATGGCTTTTCGAGCTCACGATCGGGATAATACTGCTTCAGTTGTGTCGCCAGAGTCTCGTACAACGAAACCAATTGACCCACAAGAACCGGATCATTCGTTGCAAACTTCACTTGCCGGGCAAACTTATCAATCAACACACCCTTGACATATTCATACACTGGCAATTCCAGAGCTTGGACTGGAGAAATACGACAGTGAGTAAATTTCGTCTTATCGATTTCGAAATCGAACGGGGCATTCACTGTAATCTCTTGGACTGGAGTAGTAGGAGGGTTTGTCGCGACTGGAGTTTCCATGGCTATTTTGAAATCTAGTTTTAATTGTTTAAACTAATTTCAATTTTTGTGAAATTAGTTTTTTTTTATTTGATTGGAACCCAGTGATCCCCGACCTTTGTTCGACCATTCCAACTCGATCGCAAGGTGAAACTACGTCCGCTTTTCGTGGTGCAGACGACTTCCGATCCGGTCAGCAATGTTTCGTATGTTTCTTTCGTCAATGTCTCCACCATTGCACCCTGGGCCTGTTTCTTTTCCTCGCCGGTGTCGTACTTGAGGTACAACATTCGTGGCGCGACGAAAATCGCCTCCAGCATTTTTTCCGGTTTCACTTCGAACTGACCCAGACCGGTACCAACCACATCCGGATACTTTTCGCGCAGTTCATCCACTTGGGATCGATGAAGGTATAGCGAATCCGTGTGCGAATAGTAGTAGGAACGGTTGAGATCGGCGAGACCGCCAATCTTTTCCACCACATTCGTCAAATGATGACGGGCATACGAATAGATCAAGGCGCCGATATGGAGTGAT